ATGATTTGACTGCAGGAGATGGCTGTCACTGCTTGAAATTTCCATCGGCTATCCCATTACAAAATCTGTTTAACAATCTTTCTCATTTAGATGCTAAATGCTTTCTTTTTAAAATGCTTTTATTTCTTTGATAAGTGTCAGAAACATCTTGTATATCTGATCAGCTCCCACCCAGATTAGGATCTCCAGGACATCCGGCTTTAACCCCTGCAGTGGAGGTCAGTGTGGGAAACCAGCAGTGCGTCCTCTAGTGGACACCGGAGCCATGGTGTTTGTGGTGTTCGGCATACTGGGCATCAACCGCACTCAGCGCTCAGACAACCATGTTATTGGAGACCTGGTAAGACAGAATACAACTGTTTACACTGAGTGCAGAGAGGAATCATCAGTATAATGTAAAGTCCCTTCATGAAAATGGATAATGGATTAATCATAGTCAACATCCAAAAATGGCTAATTAACTTAAAGGGATAGTTCACAAAACTAGTAATTTTAAAAGTAGTATGGCAAAGCTATAGGTAGCTGGATAGTTAACTATTTCTGGTGGATTTTCAAAGTATGAATCCCTGCTGGCTTTGAAACATTTTCCACAACTCCCACTACTTTCAACAACAAAAAATGCAAGGCGCCAAAAAAATGCTTCAGGTCATTTTATAATATCTTGATCAATGTCACAAATTTCCTCATGTAATTCATGACCTAGAACTGTAACCCTATAAAGCCTACTGTATCATTTTATATGCACATTTTATGGCCTCCAAATGATCAACATGATCAAAACTTTTGCTGAAAAACCTGTTGTACACAATCTACCACATGCCTTCTGTCATCTGATTGATAGTTTATGCTTTTAGCAAGTAAAAGACCGTTTAGTATAATTCTAAAATCTGTCCACCTTCAGGTCGTGGTTCATGTGTCTTTTTGCTGTGAATTCTTGAATGATTTTTATAAACATAAAAATAACTTTTATATTGTCAATAATATTTCAAAATGAACACTTACTGGACTGAAGCAACTTAGGTTTACTTGATTATCCATATACATAATAAAACATTTTATTTTTTTAAATTGTATCAAATATGATTATCAGGCTTTTGTGGAACGTTTATTTGTTTATCTGTCAGTCATCATTGTATTGCATTATATGTTTGGAACTACAGAACTTTGATCATAAAACTAAGCATTTAAATATCATCTTACTAAAGACATACTATTGGTAAATATAGCGTGACAACTGATATTTATATCATTTTAAGTAAGTAGTCTGCTATACTGTTATAAAGATCTCATTGATTTACAGTACAAGGTATCAGAATTTCATTTTACTTGTCGGCCATATAAATATCAGCAGCTGCACCAAATTGCACATTTTTGCTCAGTTTGAGCCTCTGAATAAAATTGTTTTGCTCCTCAATTATGAGCTCCATATTCTCTTATATCAAGATTTTTAGATTTTTCTGACTATTATTTCATATATCAGACTTTACAGGGTAATAATTTAACTTCCATCTTTTCTTTCTTTTTTTTTTACTTTGAATGGAAAAACTACTGATTTTTGATGTTGTCTCAGTCTGTACACTGTATATTGATTGTTATACAGTGATTGAAGCTGATTTATGAATTATTCATTTAATGATTATTGACGTTCCTCCTCCTCAAAGGGCAGTGTGATCTATGATCCAGACTTTGATGTTTTTAATGAGATCGGGCACTTGTGCAAGCTGTGCAAAGCCATCAGTGCCAATACCAAGCTGGTGAAGCCTGGTGGAGCTCAGTGTTTGCCATCAGGTGAGGAGGAATAATCTGTAATGCTTGCTTTATCCTTTAAAAAACAATTCATGATTCATGGTTTATCTACACTGACACCATCAGATGAGAAGAAAATATGAACTGAATTGAGCTGGACAATGACTCTTTACAACTGTACAACATCAACACTCTGATGAATTGATGAACTGATGATATTACAACATTAAAACTGTTATTTTTTCTGTTTTATTAATGTGATACTGCTTAGAAACATTCTGTATTGTACGAAGCATTATACAAATAATTGTGACTTTGCTTTCAGTCATAATCGTGTTTCTCTCCTGCAGGTAACAGCCTCACATCCATTCTGCCGTTACTCCATCCTGAGTGTCACTCTCTTCCTGAGCCCAATCTCTTGCCTGGCCAGCTATCCCATGGAGCAGTGGGCATGCAGGGCGGTAGAGTGCACTGGATCTCCATGGCTTTTGAATCAGTGAGTTCATTGCCGCATTTCAATCGTTTGCACAAAAATGCTGAGTCATATGAAATACTCTTATGGTGCTTTTTGCCCTTTGTGAGAGTGTGACAGCACCAAATATAGCTTCATTGTTTGACTTTATACTCCAGGTTATTAAGCATTTTTATTAGGGCTGTCAATTTAATGGATTCATTTGCGGCCATTAATTCTGAAAAAAATACAAAAAAGAACATGTTAAAATTATTAATGCGTTTAAAGCACCTGCACCAGCCCAGACCTGTACATCATCTTACATTGCATACAGTTGCTGATGAACATGATGTAGGACGACTGACTGTGTGATTGAGCCTGAATGCAGTTATTTGTCCCTAAAATTCAAGATATGAGGGCAAAAATGGGTTTTTGACTTTATGGGTTTAGCAATATCACAAAGCAAGAGTGCTGTTTTTTCCTGAATATCTGCATGATTGCAAATGTGATAGTGATGTTATACAACAGTACGATAAACAAGATATTTCAAAATTTCTGTATTTTCTGTTTTGCTTAGTTTCGCTAATGAAAATACTGTAGTTCTGAACAAAACCACGGCTCAACTGTTGTGCATCTCCGAGCTGCACACAGCGCTGTTCAAGGAATCAAGTGGGCCCGTTCAGTGATTCAGTGACCCGTTCATTAAGAAGTCACTTGCTTAGTTTCTGAATGAACCAGCCATATAGACGAATTTGCTGAATGAATGACTGGATGACTCGCTCATTAGGACAGTGACTTGCAGTCAGGTACTGGCAGTTTTAGTTTCATATTTAGAGTATCATCAAAAATCATTTCATATTTCAATATTCATTTTATCAATTTAAAACCTCATCCCATTATGTATACAATTCTAACTTCAATGTAAATGCATTCATGTCACCTCTGAACTGTCTTCAGATGCAGCTTCTGAAAATAATGTTATGGCCACATTGAGTGAGTGAGTAAGTGGAGCTTGGTGAAATTGGGTGCACCTCAGTGCCTACTCTCAAACTAAAGTACATCATTTTACAATACATGAGGTATTAGGTAAAATAGGGATGCAAATTTTGAGATGCAAAAACGGCATTATCAAACTGAATATATGCCTAAATTTAAAATAAAAATGTGACTGTGATCTGTTATGTATCATACATAACTGATAGTTTTGTGTCATATACAGAGATCTGGCATGAAACTCTAGATGGCGCAGTCCGATAGGTCTAACTCAGTCTGACCTAATGACATCATTATCACATGGCTCAACTGATTGGTTCTCTCCTGTATCGGTAGCCAATGAGCTCGCTGCTCAACGTTCAAATATATGACTAGTGCTTGCCGTAGCAGTGCAGCTTGCTTCAGAAACCCTTCACCTTCCCCAGCTCCACCTGTATAGATCTGCTACGAGGTGATTCATGCACGCTATATGGGGGTTATTTCATGTATGTTATATTTGCAGCAGCAATATTTCTTACATGCTCACAGCAGCATGTTGTGGGTATATTGGCAGTAGCAGGTCACGTAGCAGATCTATTTCGCCAAGACCAAACACATTAACATTGTCATGTACATTACCATGCCAATCTCTCCGAGAGTTGTCATGACAGAAATATTGTTGAAAATGTCTCAACTAGCAAAATACAACAAGCATAGTTGTTTCAGGTAGAGCCTAAACAATACCAAGTACATGTAAACAGTATACACATGCATATTTTGGGACGTGTTTTGGTTTGTAGCTTCACCAAAATAGTAGTAGTTCACATATATTTATTTAGAGCAGGTGTTCTCAATTCAAACACAGCATAACACCACACATAGATCTTGTGGTTATTCTCATAGAATGGCATTACATGCTGCTTTGCTAAAGTTACAGGACATATGAGTGTGTCACGATGATGATGATATGCTGTTTTCCAATGTCATTTAAAAACATCAGAGCGTTCAACCAATAGAAACTGGCTGTCAGGTTTTGTGTTTAGTGGGTAGGGACGATGAGTAAAGACCAATTGGGGACTGTTTGGGATTGCATTGATCACTCATATTGACAGCTCTTGCAATTACCATTCGCCATAGAATAGAAGCGCGCAACTCATCAACGAGAATCTTATTAGCAAATTATTTACGTTTATACATGCAGGTAGTTCTTATGTTCATGTATTTGAGCTATTATGGTCATATATGTGGGATTGTTCTTTTTTTCCCACAAAAAAGCAATTTTGAATCAAAATATTTAATTCTAAAGTTAGTTTTTTAGTCTATTCAATATTTAATGTTTTTTTTTTTTTTTTTTGGAAGAGAGGAGGGGGATTCTGAGCCAAATTCTCAGCCAAGCCAAATCGCTTGACAGCTCTAATTTTTGTTGTTTCAGACCACCTACAAGGGAAAGTCTTCGTTTCAGACTCATTCTGATTTCCTCCAATGGGAGAGTTTCCTGCAGAAGCAGTTCGCATCACTCCCAGCATCCTCGGTCCTGAGACGAGGCTTCCAGACCTGCCAACACTGGAAACAGATCTTCATGGAAATTATAGGCAAGAGAGCAAAAATAGAATGTGGCAAAGACAGAAACGAGCTTTGATAAAAAATGGCTCTGATTAAATAAATGAGCAATTTAAGAGCGATTAGTCTGAGGCGCAGACATCATTAACATGAGTGCTTATTAACTTCACTCTGAATGAATCTGCAGTCAGATTCTCTATTTATGTTGCATTTAACCTTTCTGAACTGCTCTTTATGCACTTCCCCTTGACTGTAGGTGTGGAGAGCGCCCTCTACAGTCTCCTGCTGTCACTTGCCATTTGCATCGCATCAGTAGCTGTGTTTACTGCCCATCCGCTTCTGCTGCTGCCAATCCTGCTGAGCATTATGGGTATGTCATACCTGCACAAAATATTAACTATTAGTTTTTTTCTTTTTCTTCTTTTTTAGTGAGCATCAGATGTTAATTTCAACCTAAAGATCACAGGAAAAAAGAGTGCACAAAGAAAATGTTATTATGCACAAATAAATGTAAGCCTATTTTTATTTTTTGCATAGTGATATTATTTTCAATTAAAATAATTGATTTTATCCCTAAATTAAAATTATAGTGGTGGCAAAAAAATTTATGTATTATTTACTTTTTAAATATGTATAATACATAATGCATAATTTATACTGAATTAAGTTTATTGAAATAATAAATTGTTTTAAATGTAGTAAAAAAAATAATGCATTACAGTGTTGTTAATGTTAACTAAAATTAAAAAAAAATATTTTGTTGAATATTAAAAACATTACAAAACATTAAAACTAACTAAAATTAACACACAAAAAAACTAAACTAAAATGACAGATGTTGCCTTAGCAACTGAGTGAAATAAAATAAGTTTAAATTGAAGTACTAACATTACTTAAACTAAAATAGAAATAAATAAAAGGTAGATATAAATATTTGGTAACACTTTATTTTAAGGTGTCCTTGTTACACATGTTACATGTACTTACTATAATAATAACAATTAATTATGTATAATTACATGCAAGTAACCCTAATCCTAACCCTAGCCATATAGTAAGTACATCTAGTTAATTAATATTACTCAGTACTTAAATGCATATTTACACTGTAACAAGGACACTTTAAAATAAAGTGTAGCCAAATATTTTTTAAAAAGAGAAACTAAAATGACAAAAGCACATAACAAAATTACTGAAATGAAAACTGAAAATATAAAAATAAAAGCTAATTCAAAATATGAATAAATACTGAAGTAGTGTATAAATAATATAACACTGATTACAGTATATGACAAACTAATGAGAATTATGATTGAGAAATATGAGAATTACAACAACAAAAATCAAATAGACAACATCCAGATACATTAAAGCAATAAACATTTGGAGGTCAAATGTGCAATAAGTCACAATGCAAAAAATGTAAAACTGTCCTAAAATGGTTTAATACTTCTTTAGATAATGATTTCATTTTATTTTTGCGTGAAATGTGACCTGGGTGTGCTTGTGTAAGATTCACTCTTTAATTCACTGTGACCCCTTGAAATAGTTTACCACCATTTATTACGGCCAACTAATTTTCATTGAGGATACTAAAATGCAGTATCTCCCTTTGGACGGTGTCTGCCATTCTGTTGAATTTAATTGACTCGTGTAATATGTACTGACGGTGAAAATCATTGCCTTTGAAATGTGCAGCTCTATTCCCATCTCATTTATATGTTAATACAATATGCCAGACATGACTGTAATTTAACTCGCTTTCAACCGGGAATATTATCACTACAAGTGTGATTACTCAGACTGAACGAATATACAAATTATGCAAAATGAAAAGAGACTCAGAAAATCATCCCACTCCTACGTGTCCAACTAAACAAGGAAATAGATTTCAAAAATGTGCAATGATGCTTGAATTCAAGTAGAGGAAGGAATAATAATAATAATGTAAAAAAAAAGGGGACAAAACGGAGTGTTTTTGAGCAGTGTGACCTTGAAATGGGACCCTGAAAAGTTTTAAATAAGCATTAAATCTTGGCACGATGTGTGTTGGCAGGTATGGTGTGTCTGGTGGTGGCGGTGATGTATTGGCTGGGATGGGAGATGGGTGCGGTTGAAGCCATCTCTCTTTCCATATTGGTGGGCTCTTCGGTGGACTATTGCCTTCATCTAGTGGAGGGATATTTACTGGCGGGGGACGCTGACACCTCAGGACTAGCTAATCACAGTTCGGTATGATTTACATTTAACCATTAGTGTTGAAATCTCCTGTTGAAATTAAAAGTTTGTTCCTGACTGTTTTCATTATATGCTCACATCCCCACTTCATTTGGTAGTGTTCTGGGCGTGTAACACTGAAGATTTGATGGATCCCATGTAGGGTAATCATTTAAGCTGTTCATGTGCAGGGGTTTTCTTCCAGCACTGTGCCCTAGAGCAAGGCACTGAGCGCTGGGATGCTACAGGGAACTCATTTAAACCAGCCGACTATAAGCTGCCCTGGATAAAACAGCATCTCCTAAATAAAAACCAAAAACAAGTTCATGCTCTCAGTCATATGCATATATAATATGCATAATAGACAGGGAACCTGTAATGGAGCCCTCTATAAAAAATTTTTTATAATGACATTCTTGATGCATTATATTATAACACATTAATAATACATTCAAATAATGCAATTCATGGCTATAATTAAGCAATTTTAAGGAGGGAAATACGATGAGAAAAAAACAACAACACTAGATACTAGCTTAAGGTGCATGTAATAATGAATTCTAATGGTTTTCTTGATGCATTGTAACACATTGATAATACATTCATAATTATTAGATCTATAGTTATAAGTGTTCCTCACGTGCGTGAGCTGTGTGTGTTTAACCCATACACTCAATAATCTCATCAGCAATATTACTGATGAAAAGGGTTGTTAATGAAGTGTTTTGATTTTGTGTGAAGAAAAATGCAATTCATTCTGATAATTAAACCATTTTAAAGGAAATATGACAACACCGCTAGATAATAACTTTAGGTGCAGTCACACCATGTCATGATTACTGTAATTACTATATGACCACCTGGATATTTTACTTGGAGACGTTCACATCCTCAGACTCGGAATTCTATTTCTGTGGCAACATTATTAACTCCAGAACTCATCAGCTTTTTAGTGGGTACAAAAAATAAAATAAAACGCGTAACTTTGCAAATCATTAAACAATCATTATGCAAATGCCTTTTGATTTAATTTATATATATTATATTAACATTTTGCAGATACTGCAAAGTGAATGTAAAATGTTGACCACAACTATAAACTGTATTATTTATTGGATATTATTTTATATAGGACTTTAGACTTTAGGCACCCAACTATGTGGATAATCAATTGACAAAACCGCAACCCAAGTAACAGTTGCAAATGTCTTATTAATAAAAAAGTGCATTTATATTTATTATATGTGAATATATATTATTATTATATTGTTTATGTTTTATATTATAGACCTATTTTTATATATTTATTACTATATATTTAGTTTGATATATTTAGTTATTATTATATATTTAGTTATATATGGATGTATATATATATATATATATATATACTATATTTGTTTGTCTTATTTAGCAGTAGGGGTGTGCAGCGGAGTCGATATCTGTATCTGTATCTGTAACAATCTCAAAATTATTTGCATCCTTATCTGTATTCAGATAAAACCGGAAGTGGGCGGGGCTTTACCCGGAAGTTTGTACAATTACTTGAGAAAACCGTTATGTTTTAGTTTGATCTTTTTTTCTTCGTAGCCATCACTTTACAAATATGTATGTATAACTAATATGCCTAATATGAACAAATATGCCTTGTATAACTGATAAAATAATATTTTTCATTATGATTATAACATTTATTTAAATATCTTCTAACTTTCGGAGCCGACAGCTTCGTATAGTCAGTGCTCGAATAGTCAGTCAGGTGTAATGTGGTTGTGCTTCGGGAGACCCGAGTTCGAGTCCCAGCTCGAGGACCTTTCATGATTAAAAAGTTCTAATTAAAACAGTAATAATAAATGTTAATAAAATTAAAATAAGAGAAATATATATAACTCTGTGTACTGAGAAATGTCAGGACAACCGCAACCTCAAATAAGAGGAGGCTGACTCTATAAATAGCTGATTAGAGAATATGGAAAAAAAAAAAAACCTATGCATTCAATGCATAGTACAGTGCCTTTACTATGCATACAAATGCAAATCTGAACAAATTATAAAAATATACCTGCATAAATGTCGTCTCAGACAGAGAGTGAGACATGTAGCCTATCATACAAAGTTTAAAACATTTAAATAGACATATCAAGCAGTAGTATTTCAGTCGATATTACTCTTGCCAAGCTCTGATTTCTGAGAGATACACGAAGAGGAAACTGTTTGATTTGCGATCATTTCTTTCGTGTTTACACTCATTCAGTTCACACACTCAATATTGCATAGTGATTTTAGAGGTTATGTATAATATCGCTCTGTTCCCCTGGATCACCTGTTATCCAGCAAACACCAGGAGTGACTGTGTCAGCCTCAGCCGAATATTATTCAGCACAATTATTCGTTATTTGTTTTGAAGCCATTATCCGTGACTTTCTGAATAAGGTATTCGGCTTCGGGCACACCCCTATTTAACAGAACATTAGACATTAACTATCCAACTATTTTTTAGCTACTCTTTTGTTTATTTTCAGATTAATCTGACAATAATTAGACATTAACAATAGTCAATTGGAGGAATTACTATAGGAATTTACTACTTGAAATTGGTGCGATTTTCAACATTATTCAGTGTTTCAATGCATGACATTGCAGAGGTTAAATGGTACAAGTCTGAGCTTTCAGAAAATACAATGACGCAAACACTTTTTATAAGTCAGAATCTCATAATAACAGTTATTCTGATAAGGCATGAATGCACCAAGTGAAGAAGAAAAATAAAGCAACAATGGCTAATAATGTGGGGGACTGACCCATTTGAGCTGAGTGAGGTGTTGCTGAACAATGAATGAACACCAGCGCTTTACCAGTGGGATAATAAACTCACCCAAATGCATCCTATACATTAATAGATTAATCAAAAACATCCACAAGATGAACATAATATTACAACTTCTGCACAAAATAACACATGAATGCACAAGTGAACTTGAGCTGTGCCATGGTGTGGAGGAACTCCCTAAAAATGTACTAAACATAGATACTAAAAAAACTAAACAAAAAGAAATCGCAATGTTGAATTACAGTAGTGTACTCAGGTCTTTCATATCAAGAACAATTTTCATATTTTTCGTTGTTACACTTTCTCTTCGACTAAAATATTTTCACCTAGAGAAAACTGTACAAATGAATGACTATAACAATGAAATATTGACTAAATTGTAAAGAATCTTTATGACTAAAACAAGAAATTGCAGTCAGAGAGGATTACTGTTCATCTTTACACAGTGTAATGGAGAAAACCTGCTGCTTCTGAGCACGGATCCAGTGACAAGGAGAAATGTCAGCATACTGATGAAATAAACACGTCTGATCCTCATGAAGATGGAGGAGAGGAATCAGAATGCAGAATATATCTCTATGCCATTGTGAATTTAGTTACAAAAAAAGTGCTGTACACACATAAAAGAATAAAAATATAAATGATACAAACAGTCAACAACACAAAAGAAAACAATAAGACACCATAAAGACAGTAAAAGAAAGCAGCTCTCACATAGCGTCAAATGCCAGGCTATAAAAATAAGTTTTTAGGCTATATTTAAAAACAGCAAGTGTTTGAGCCTGTCTAATGCAGAGGGGCAAACTATTCCAGAGCTTCGGGGCCGCCACTGCAAATGCTCAGTCACCCCTGCTCTTCAACTTTACCCATGGGACAACTAAAAGCAAATGGTCAGCAGACCTAAGTGCTCTTAGGGGAGCAAAATAGGTGCTAAACCATTAAGAGATTTAACAACAAATACCAAAATCTTAAAATGAATCCTAAAATGGACAGATAACCAGTGAAGAGAGGCGAGAACGGGGGTGATGTGTTCCCGCTTTTTTTGTGTACCCGTCAGCAAGCGAGCTGCCGCATTCTGGACGGTCTGCAGTCTGGAGATAGAGGCCTGATTAATACCTATATAGATGCCATTACATTAATCCAGACGAGTTGAAATAAAAATATGAACGATTCTTTGAAAGTCGTTAGAAGACAGGAAAAATTTCACCTTGGTGAGTTGTCTCAATTGGAAAAAGCTAGATTTAACTACCGAGTTAATCTGTTTGTCCAATTTAAAATCACAATCCATGATAACACCTAAACTTTTTACATAGGGCTTCACAAGTGGTTTAAATTCACCAAGGTCCAAATCTGATGACTCTCAAGTACCTCCCGGCATAAACAGCATAACTTCTGTTTTATTTTCATTAAAATGAAGTCAATTTAGTGCCATTCAGGTCTTAATTTCCTCAAGACACTGCAATAGGGGCGCTAAAGAGCAAGTATCTTTTCATTTCAGAGGCAGATAAATTTGCGTATCGTCTGCATAACATTGAAAAGAAATACCAAATTTCCTAAAAATATGTCCTAAGGGGAGCATATACAGGGAGAACAGAATAGGCCCCAAAATGGAGCCCTGGGGGACCCCACACGTGAAAGAAGCAGTTGAGGAGACAAAGTCTCCAAACAAGTTAAATTCACGGGTGTCATTCCCTCTGCTTCTTGCAGGAGTCCTCCATCAAACGGCAGCTACGGACCCTTGAAGCAGCCAATCACGTGGGCGTTGCTATAGTTTCCAGTGCCGTCACTACGGTGATTTCAACCATTCCGCTCTTTTTTTGTGTCATCGTGCCTTTCGCCAAGTTCGGTCAGATTGTGGCCATCAACACGGCCATTTCCATCGCCTTCACGCTCACCGTCACGACCGCACTGCTGGCCACAATGGGACCCAGCGACTTCACCCGTCCTCCCAGAGCCGTGCTCAAAGCCACTCTGGTGGTCCTGATCGTGGGGGTCTGTGGAGGTCTGCTGTGGTGGACCGGGTCACAGTTCGCTCAGGACACACTGGTCTGAATCACACATCCTTCACCGGCCGAGGAACCAGGTGGATTTCAAGTGAGCAACTGTGATTATTTGTGACGTTAAGATGACATGTGTGAACTCTTTGGGAAGCAGGTTTGGGAAAATGAAGTATTTGACACATGTGGCACACTGTTAGAAATTAGGAAACCCAGTATGTGAGTAGTTAACAGTGCATGAAGGTAGCGAGTCCTGACAGATGTGGGAAATTATGTCAGACACATTTAGGTGAATCTTTGCTATCAAGAATCGCTGTGTCAGGGACTTGCGTTTAAATGTTATTGTTTGACTAAAAGAGCCGACTAGTCTTATTTTGGTTCAAGTGTGACAAGGCCCTGAAGTCTCAGAAGAGAAGAACATGAATTCTGTGAATTCATCTTGTGTGAGGCAGCAGGACAACAACGAAGGAGAAAGTGTAAGATGAAGCTACTTACTCATCGTCCTTGATGGTAAAGTTTGCTGAACCCCAAATCTAGAAGGCCTACTGTACATTTTGGTTGAAGTCAACATAAAATGACATTCACATGATGGTTCACCCTAAACAAGACCGTCACTGTTGCTTAAGTAGATTGTACAAAAAATGTAAGATTGTGATAATTCTCCATTATGAATGAGATCCAATTCACCAAAATGTCAAATATTTACATATTGCCATGTCATTTTATCCATCAGGATTTGATTGGTTGGTAAAAACTCAGGTTCACCCTCCAGATTATTTTAATGTATCACCTTCTCAGAATTTTTAAAAAGCTGTGTTAGCTACAACAGTATAACAATACTGAATTGCAAACTGGCTATTGTTTAACATTAACCAGTATCCACACAGCCTTGGTTACAGAAGAAAAATAAGAGACAGGAAATAGTGTTATCAATTACATTGTTTTACTTAATAATTAATAAAACTTAAATAAAAATATTACATGATAAAAACTTAAAAGGTTTCCTTGGCAACTAACTGAAAATGTGGAAGTACTAAAATTACAAAAAAAACTGAAATAAAAAAGAATTTAAAGCTAAATAAAAAAAGAAACTAATAAAACTGACAAAAGTGCATATCAAAATGATTAAAATGTTAACTAAATATAAAAACAAAGTATAAAAATAAAATATCATTCAAAATATTAATAAATACTATAATAGTGCATATTATATTAATACTATAAAATAACAATACTAAAATAACACTTGAAGGATTTTTTTTTTCCAGTTTGATCTCATGAGACAACTATTTTACATTTTGGTGAATTGGTGTTGAGTTTGCTGAGTTTGATTTGTACGAAAATGTACAATATTTAGAAAAAAAACCCATGAAGGTCCACCCCTAACCTAACCTTCAGAGGAACGCAAGCGGATCATATGAAAACATAAGTATGAGCAAATTCTAGAAATGTGTTAAAACGTAAAATAATTACAAATTGCCATGAGAATGTGTTGTTCTTTGTAATAACATGCTCAATAAGACCAGATCTATTTCTGATTTCATGTTGACTTTAAGGAACACAACATCCGACATTTTCCTACATTAATGTAAGAGGTTACTGTGCATTGTTTTGTTTTAGTCTAAAACCGATGAAGAGGGTTGCAGTACTGATCATACTGCTTAGGGCACTTAATTATATTTCAAAGTAAACGTAGTAAAAAGAGATGTATTTTTTTATTTTTTTTTTGCCTGTGAAATGTTAAGGTTATTGTCTGGACTTTTATAAGATAAAAGTGTAAAACCATGGTGAATTTCATGCTGGCTTGTGTAAGATTCTAACGACACAAACACCGAGTTCTGCAGAGTATTGTTGTGTGATGTGGTTTGTTCAAGTTCCCAGTGAAACCACTGTTTACATTCGTGTTTCTGCGCACCAAACGGATCCACTTAACCCGACGTGTCTTTATCTTTTTTTGACTGGTGCCAATTATCCGTCTTTCAAATCATATGCACACAAAAAGTTACAAGGATCACAGGCGACCTTCATTCGGCTTGATCATTTTGACCCTTTAACCAGCTGTCTGGAAATATTAAAGCACTTCAGCAGCAATCCACTTTCAGCCACAGACACTCGCTGTCCTCCTAAAAGCTCTCCGCTGTGCTCCAATGCCCTCTGCATGCAGGAATTCAGCTCACCTTCACAGCTCTAGCTGGTTTTCTCTGATATTCATGTTAAGGACTGACTGGAAATATTTTAGAGAAATATTCACACATTAACAGTCACACAGAATACATGCTGCCATCAATGGGTGAATCTCACAGAGAAATGTACAGGTCATATTTCACCTCCAAAATAATAATTTTTAGGTTTTTCAATTCCATATAAAAATGTATTACATTTTACTACAATATGGTGACAAATGTACAAAAATTAATTTGTAGTTAATATGTAACATTAATATGTTCACATTGTATAGGCCACTGACAATGGATGAGTTGTTGGTTAAATGTGCTTTATTGTCTTTATGCAAAACATATCTAAGTTTTCCAGTCAATTTTGGGATTAAATATGTCCCTGGCATTTCTTGACAGTTTTGGCAAGATTCACCCAAAAATGGCTTATGATGGAGCGAACATGATTATTTATGGTTATATCATAGGTAAAATATCATATTCACATTACAACAACCAAATCAAAAATGCAAAGATTTATACTTCAGTTTATAATCAACAATCATCATAATAGTTTTCCACTACATTTGAACTATTTACTGTGCACATTATCATTGGTAAGAGTTTTCTAAGAAACTTAAAACTTATTAAAACACTTACTTGACTTTATTTAGCTCTTCCCATCAATTCTGCTTAATATTTAATGTTGGAAACGGTAGCTAGGCATTAATAATGCACTGTGGTGACCATGCATAATTGATAATCTGTTATATAGCAAATTCAATACTGATATATGGTTTATTTAGAAATCCACAGTCATCAAGATGTGAGCTCAAGACCTTGAAACCGTCAGAAAAATAATGGAATGCCTTTAAAACATGTAGGACTTTTCCTAATAGTTGGAAAAACACCAGTTATATCAGAAAAAAAATAATTGAAAGTGCTAACTACTCTAACTGAATTGGTATATTTGGGCTTTAATTCAATTAATTAAATGGTCAGTCCATAATTCCTGAGTCTACAAGACAAAATGTGACATGAAGCATTTCAAAATGAAAATAACATTTTATGAAATAGATGCACTTGTTAACACTGTGCAATACATAGGTGAAAATTAGCTATACAATATAAATAAATTGCATCTTTTGTCTGCAATTACACATAGCCTTAGTTCTTATCAAGTTATCTATGGTTTAGTGTACTTTGAATACATTAATACATATTTACATACATACATATGATAAAATGCATAAACATGTACCAAGTCTTATGTGGGAAGGCCGGTCAGGGTGAATAAATCAAGCATACACTATTATGCTGAGGTAACATTTCAGAAATGTGCTAAAACAGATCATTTGAATCCCACATTTGCCCACAAAACACTATTTCTAACAAGAAATAACCTGGGCATTAAAAACATTAATAATGCTTAGGAGGATGTGCTTCGATTAGCAAAATGTACAAGTGCTCCGCTACTCTAAAAAGCTATGCTAGGAAGCATATTCAAATACAGAGATGCTAAATTGGGTATAGACGTTCTCTTAGACACAAAATAAAATCCATTTGAAGAACTAGGATAGAAGTTAGTTGATCTTGAGCATGAGGGTAAGCTTGCAAGGATGTATATCGAGCAACTTGTTTGGTCACAGCACACGTGGCTTGAAGGTTCAGATGGAAGGCATTGCAGAAACGTCTAAAACCTTTTAAAACCCCAAAATGTGTCCTCTTAAAACCATAATCCTCATCATTTGCCTTCCTGGATTTCACACATCCGAGTCAAACCGTAACCAAGTCCTGCAACAACTAAAATCTAGTGTCTTGAAATGATTCAGTGGGTAACAACAATCAGATATCCTGAACCTGAGATTTAAAAGAGCTTTAGGTAAATCCACAAAGGCAAACAGGTGTGAAATGATGAAACAGAGGAGACAGAGTCAACAGCCTTTGAAGGAGCTCTGCAGGAGCCAGAAAGAGAGAGAGGTAGGGAGCAGCAATGCAGACTGCATACTTCACAGGGATGATCCTGGAAATGGAGTGCGCTAACACTTCAAATCAAATGATCAACCCTGGGGATCAGGGGATCACTATTGGACCTTCAATAGTGCTATTCAGCACTATTCCACACAGATTTGACATCAAACATCCTCTTTTCCCAACTGACATTGCATATCAATGGAGAAACAGCGATTTCAAGTGACCGTAATGACTGGGGCGCAGGGCTCATTTGAAATAGCACCATCCCAACACTCTCCCACACGGTGAGGTACGTTATTGGTACAAATGAACATTTTACACAGTTTTAACAGTTTCCCCATAGTCAGCGGTGCAAGAGCAACATCTACCTAGCAATAGGCCATCTGAGGACTGCTAAAAGAGACAATCCTTTTAGGTTTTAACTCAAAATTGTATTGGGTGCAGAGACAACGGACCTTAGTCAGAGTAGACACCGTACGTAATCTGACCTGAATGAAAACGAGACACTATAGTTTGTTCAATATTGTTGAAGACAATATACAGTTGCTGTACTTCAATAAGTTTCAGGTCTTGAAGAGATAATTCCCCCAAAACGGAAAATTCTGGCATCATTTACTCACTCTCATGTCATTCCAAACCTTTCTTTCTTTTGCACACACAAAAGACATTTTGAAGAATGTTTCAGGTTTTTTTTGGGGGGGGGGGTCCATAGAACAAAAAAAGTCAATGGATTCCAACATTATGTTGTTTTGGACCCCAGTGACTTTCACTGTATGGACAAAAATTTTCTTCCAAATGGCTTCTTTTGTGTTTCGCAGAAGAAATTAAGTCATTTACTCAAATTTGGAGTAAATGATGACAGAATCTTTGGCTGAACTACATCTTTAAGTTCATAGGTCATGTCTAATTTTACATTTTTTATGTTTACCCTGACTAAGGTCCATACACACAGCTATCATACTATGACGCATACTATGATTTTGAAAACAACAGTTGGTCATGTACTGTGAGGAAAGAGCCTGAAAAAGAGGGAAAAGAAGATAAAAGAAAACAGCGGTGGGATGCAAGGACACAAGAGGACCCAGCAATTTTCATGCGATTGTGCCTAATTTGTTCATGATTGGCGAAGCACAGAGTGAATGCTACAAGGACAGCAGCAAATTAACAGGACCTTGAAAGAGTGTGTGCTTAAACTAACGAAAACTAAATATTTTCCACCATACCATCCTGTTTTTATGCAAAAGCAATTAACAGCCATCAGACATGGGCCACGTTTTGTTTATTAGTCTTTTAATATGATAACGGACTCTGAAAAACCTCCTCGAGAGAGTGATAATT